CTTCTCTTCTGCAGACTGAACAAACCCAAATCCCTCAGCCTCTCCTCACAGGTCATGTGTCCCAGCCCCCTCAGCATTTTGGTGCCCTCCACTGGCCCCTCTCCAATGCGTCCACGTCCTTTCTACAGTGGGGGGCCCAGAACTGGACACGACACTCCAGCTGTGGCCTCATGCAGAATCAAACATCCCTTTAGCTATTTGAAAGTTATCGCGTCCCCAACAAACCCAAATCCCTCAGCCTCTCCTCACAGGTCATGTGTCCCAGCCCCCTCAGCATTTTGGTGCCCTCCACTGGCCCCTCTCCAATGCGTCCACGTCCTTTCTACAGTGGGGGGCCCAGAACTGGACACGACACTCCAGCTGTGGCCTCATGCAGAATCAAACATCCCTTTAGCTATTTGAAAGTTATCGCGTCCCCTCTCGCTTTTCCCTTTTCCAAACTAAACAAGCCCAGTTCTTTCGCCTTCCCTCCGAGCTCACGTCCTCTGGACCTTTCATCACCCTCGTTGCTCTTCTCCGGACTTTCTCCAGTCTCTCCTCATCTTTCCTGAAATGCGTTGCCCAGAACCGAACGCGGGGTTCCAGCTGAGGACCAATCAGCACAGAGTAGAGGGGAAGAATGACTCGGCCACACCCAGACCTAAGGCCGGTGCCGTTCCAAGGCCTGAGACCTTCATGCTTGGTGGCACTTTCTGTTCGATTCAGGGCAGAACCAGCAGCCTGATCTGAACCCTCAGCCTCTGCTAGGTTCCGACGCCCGGATCCCAGGGTGGTGGCTGAGGCCCATCACCGGTTCCCATGTCGCTTGCGTTTCCACCTCCCCACGGCAGAGGGTGAGACCGTTACCCACCAGGCAGCGCCCGGTTCCATCTCCCCAATGGCGAGCTCATTTTTAAGACTTGTCTTTTCTTGTTTCTTGGAGGTCAGGTTGCCAAACTTTTCCAGGACTCAAGTCTGGGCAATATTGTCAATATCCTTGTGACCCGTCTGATTCTTCTCACCGAGGACCAGGTAAGGAGCCAGCATGGCCCCATGCCTAGTGGAAAGGGCCCCCCCGGGGGTACAGCTGGGAGCTGCTGCTGAAGGGCCCAGGTGCCTGCCGGGCATGTGCAGGGACCCTGCTGGGCTAGAGACCAGACCACGTCCGTTCAACCAGAACTCCCCCTCCGTGCCCTGGATGTTTACTGCAGTGGGGAGGAGGCCAACGGAGGTTCTGCCCCCTCTAAATGGGGCCCCCACTCTGTCTGCTGGCCGGTCCTTCCTCCCTACCCCACTGGGGGTATGTCTACACTACAAAGTTAGTTCGAACTAACTTTCATAGGCGCTACACTAGCGCTCCGCTAGTTCGAATTTAATTTGAATTAACGGAGCGCTTAGTTCGAACTAGGAAAACCTCATTCCACAAGGATTAAGCCTAGTTCGAACTAGCTAGTTTGAATTAAGGGCTGTGTAGCCCCTTAATTCGAACTAGTGGGAGGCTAAAGCTTCCCAGGTTTCCCTGGTGGCCACTCTGGCCAACACAAGGGAAACTCGTATGCCCCCCTCCCGGCCCCGGACCCCTTAAAGGGGCACGGGCTGGCTACGGTGCCCCTTCCA